CCCTTGAAAGCTGATGCTCAGTTATTTGTTCTTTTATTCCTTCTGGATTTTGCTTTGCTTTATTTTGTCCTGGCTAAACAGCACTCACCTTCTTAACAGTCTAGAGCAAACTCTGGAACTGATATTCCTCTTGACAGCGCGTCCCCAGAAGAGGCAGCTGAAGAGTCTACCCAGACCTGACTTCGCTCCCTGCTCATCTCCCTGGCATCTTACTAGAGCCTCAACACAGTGTCCTTCCCACTAGGGTCTCTTCCCCTGTACAGTGTGTTCAGCCCAACTAACACCTGTATGTGCAATCTGCTGCACTGAGGAGTGGGAGGCATAAAGTCAAGAATAAAACTGCAAAAAAAGTTAACAACAACAACAACAAAAAAACTGGAAAGAAATGACTGTTGGAATCCTTTCACTTGTTCAGGCACAGATCTGACCACTACAGGTGGGTGCTGGTTCCATGGGAGCCTGCAGACCATTCACAGCTCAATACCAATAACTTCATGAGAAAGGCCAAAGACCATCTCTGGAGCTTGAAGATTTCTGTGGTCCTGCAGGGAATGTGGGTATTCAATGAAGAACAGATATGAACCTACCAGCTGTTCACAGCTACCCTTCCCACAGGGTCCTTTACATGTCATCAATTCCCTAACCAGGCTCAAAGCATTCAACTTCACTCTCCAAGGGCCCAGGGAAAAGGCATCAAGGAATGAATTTATCTCTGAGTCCAGTGTCCTTTGCTAAGATTTCTTTTTCCCTTCCATGGCTTCCCTATGAGACAGGCTGGACTTACAGCATTTTTTATAGACCAGGGAAACGATGCAGAAAGGTTACAATTCCAAGTTCACTCAGGTAACAAGTGGAAAGGGGTACTTCACAATGCATGTCAGCATGGGAAGAAAAACATGGTCCCAGTAGGATGATGGTAAAACACACAAAACCCAAGAAAACACTTTTGCACTCTTGCAACAAGTGATTCAACTGTGCCACATTTCACAGGAATTGAATCCTACAGGGAACCAAAAGGGACTGAGAGACATCAAAGGTAACACCCATGTTAGGCAGAGAAGCAGCCTGTGTAATTTATATTTAAGCAGATACCGAAACGAAGGGAAGAACTAGTTATGAATATAGTAGAAAGAAACCTATCCATTGTTGAATACCTTAAGTACTTGATAATAAACTGTTTAAAGAGAGAAGAACTTGGACTGTTCAAGTAAAGAGAGAGAGCGAGTAAACATGGAGGATAACAGAACCTATGGCAAGGCCCCTAGGGAGGGACTGGGAGGGCAGGACATCAGGACTTAGGTCATAATGGTAAAGTAATGTAAGTAGGTCTGACAGGTAGGTGTTCATCAAGACAGTGGTGAATAAGGGGAGGCAAAAGTCCAAGATAGACCCAGATAAGATGAAAGCGGGACTAGACAGTCCCAAGGGCTGTCCTAATCAGCACCAACTCAAAATCATGTTTTCCAGAGGGAGCTGAGAGGGTAGTTTATCTAGAACATGGTTTTTTTTTTTTTTAAGATTTATTTATGTGTATAGAACTGGGGTACAGGCCAGAGGTGCAGGGGCAGTGAGAGGCTTCACCAGCGACAGAGTGGGGAGCAGAACAGGCCGACTGAGGAAGTGCGCTGCTGAGGGGAGCAGCGGGCAGATCAGGAGAGGTCTGCCGTGCCATGTGGTCACCTCCAGGGCAGGGAGATCAAACTCATGCTGCAGTGGCTTTAGCTTCTTAACGCTGTGCTTTAACCTGCTGTGCCAAGAGGGAGGGCCCTAGACTATATTTTGAAGCAGTGTTCTCTAGGCTCTTGTTAGATGCTTGGAAACAAAGAAGAAAGAACAAACCAGGTATTAGATGAGATGCTTTCCCTTCCACTAAAACTTCCCAGTTTGTTAATGTTTTCTTCATGCCCTCAGTCAATTATAAATTCCTTGAGATCAAACTTTATGGAAGTTTTAAAGATGGAAACTTTAATACTAGTTAAAGTTAACAATGTCAAGTATCCCAATTTAAATCAAGGCACCATTTTCAAAATGGAGCATGGAGAGAAAATAGACAAATCTGAGAGCTGAGAAAATTCATATGATGTTAGGAAGACAGTCTTTGAAACCTTTATGCTAGTAAACAGAAGAACTCCTACCAGAACCTCTGAATATACTACATTTTATGGCAGGAAGGATTTTCCAGATGTAATTAAATTGTAGACTTTAAAACAGTTTGAGTGGGGCCCTCCCTGGTGATGCAACAGGTTAAAGCACAGCACTATGACGATATCCACAGGAGTTTGATCCCCAGCAAGGGAGGTGACCCACATGGGGCAGCAGACATCTCTAGACCTGCCTGCTGCTCCCCTCAGCTGTGTGTTTTAGTGGATCCACCTGTTTGTTCTCACTGTCTCTGATGAATCCTCTCACTGCAGGCCCCTTTGTCGTCCCCCCACCCCCGTACCTCTGGCCTATACCCCCAGTTCTTGTGTGCATATATAAATAAATCTTAAAAATGAATAAATAAAACAGTCTGAGTGGGCCCTTGGCAGAGAATTTTCTTTGGCTGAAGCCAAAGAGGTGGCAAAAGAACTCAGCTTTGCTACAGTGGCCCACCATAGAAAAAGGCAGCCTATAGCAACAAAGATTGACCCCAGACTAACAAACTTTCAGTAAGAAATGAAGACAACCACAAGGAACTGAATTTGGCCAACAACCTGAATTGACTTGGAAATTCTACCCTAGAACCTTCAGGAAGAAATGCAACAGTTTGAATTTAGCCTTGTTAAGATTTCTAACATATTCTATCTAATCCTCTGATCTATAAAACTGCCAGATAATAAATTTGTGCTTTTTTTTAAAAAAAGACTTATTTATTTATTCAGACAGAACTGGGGTACAGGCCAGAGGCTCAGGCGCGATGAGAGGCTTCACCAGAAACAGAGTAGGGAACAGAACAGGCAGATCTACGAAGTACACTGCTGAGGGGAGCAGCGGGCGGGTCAGGAGAGGTCTGCCACACCATGTGGTCACCTCCGGGGCAGGTGGGAATTGAACTCATGCGGAAGTGGCTTTAGCTTCTCAGTGCTGTGCTTCAACCCGCCGCGCCACCAGGGAGGTCCAAATTTGTGCTTTTTAAAGATACAGTTATTATGGTAATTTGTTACAAAAGTAATGGAAACACAAGCAGCAATCTAGCAAAGAAAGCCTAGTTTTTCTGGAAGCAAGGGGGAGAGGTAAATCATGGAAGTATTTCTGGTCAGCCCCCAACACCCATGATGCTTTAATGACACTTTCCTACCCTCCACATTTCCTTTGATGACAATTCATTCTTCAGTTCTTAAATTCTGGAATTCCCCAAAGAGGATTCTTTGACCTGGGAACTTTTTATTTTTTTCCAAGAATGGGCCATACCTAAAGATTTCATCTTAAAAGCAACTCTAGTGCACTAAAAAAAAAATGTTCACTGATTCTGAAAGATCTACAAAATTGTCCCCAGGTTATTCCATGGCAGTGTCCAGTGCCTCTTAACTCTTCAGTACTTCACAATACTATCTCCCCTGTACTAAGGTTTCCCAGCATTCAGCCCCACTTCCTTCCATCCACACTGCCGCACCGCACCGCACCACACCCCACCCCCTCCATCTAATTAGTCATCAAGGACTATCTATGCCAGCTCTCCCCTTTCTCTGGAACCATCTTCCTCTTTCAGTTTCTGCCACTGTAGCGCAGACCTTTATAATACCGTGCCTTCTGGGACAATCTACAGTCATTTCTGGAGCAATGTGACAGGCAGTGATCTGCAGTAGGAATATAGAGATGAAGGACTGGTCCTCAGCCCCAACAGCTAAAAACTTACAGTGGCCTACCTGTCCTCTCTCTGATCCATCTCCAGCAATTCAGATGATCTTCCCAACTCTGGCATTTCACTGCTTCAAAGCAGGCCATATGCCAAATACAGGCTCAACTCCTTAGCACAGCACTCCCACCATTAACATGTCAGCACCTGCTCACTCTCATTCCATTATCATCACCTGAACCTCCTTACTCCTCCAACCCCAGAACCCTATCAACCTACAGCAATAAACTCCATGCGGTGAGCACTTGCTCTTCTTTGCACCTCAATATGGAATGTCGACCCTTGACACTCCTATATCCTATTAGGACTCAACTTGTCACATACTCCACAAGGCTGCTCCTGACCTACTCAAAACAACTGCCTATTATTCCTAAAATTGCACTTTACAGTTCCATTCTGGTGATGGGTTCTCTGGGGACAAGGGCTGTCTCAAACAAATGGGCAGCACTCCAGTAAACTCAGAAAAAGGCTGCTGTATGAAACAAGCAGCGGTGAGGGGCTGGAGTTCCGATGGCAGGTGAGGCCTAGGGAACACTGGCATCCCAATACTAAAGGGTTCAGCTGATGAAACTATGCAGGAAGCACTAATCCTTCTTCACTACCTCCTCGGAAGGACAGACGCCTTCTAACAGCCTCTTTCCTGTCAGTGAAGTCCGTATTTCGTGAGGAGTCGTTCCCACTACTCACAGCCTTAGCCTCCCAACCTCATCTTCCACCCACTCCCTTCAATCTCGTTCCCCCACCCTGATGCACTTTTCTGGACGAGGAATCAGAAAGCACCAGTCCTGCTGTGGCCCCGCTGTCCCTTTCCTTTTTCGTATTCAGTGTGATTCAAAGAGGAGGAAAGTATGCATCCAAAGCACACAAATGACGAGCGAGAAAGCTCAAGACGATGACTCATAACCAGGGCTCGTAGGTTTGCAGAGTTCAGCCTCAGGATAGCGAAGGAGCTGCCCATGTCCGCCGGGAACGAAGGGGAAAGCCGGGGAAGGGCCGCGCCCTGGAACTCGCGGGCGTCCCGGGTGCTTTGAGCCTCCTGGCACCCGGCCCGGAGGGTCCTGATGCCTTAGGTCTCCCACGGGTCCAGCCCAGGCCTCGCCCGCCGAGCGAGGGGGGCCAGAAAGATTCCGCGGTTCCGACCGTAGCCCAGGCCTCTACTCACATTTGACTGACCAGCTTCTGCCGGAAGCCGGCGCTCCGCCAATCGGTCTCCTGCCCCGAAACGTCCATGCCAGTTCCCCAACTCCCACCACCGCGTCTTGCTCTGCCGCCGCCGCCGCCGCCGCCGCCGCCGCCGAGCGAACCACAGCGCCAGGCCCAAACCCGGAAGCCGTCGGCGGCTCCTCGGCCGCGCCGGAAGCGGAGAGGGAATTGTGGGAAATAGAGTTGTTCACGCGCGAGCCTCTGGGAAATTGAGTTCCCCAGCGGTTTTCTGACTCTTGCGGCTCCACAAGTCCCTCTCACAGGGCGTCTGTCGCACTATCCTGGGACCCCAGACGACCGGAGCTGAGGAAAGTGAGGCGTAGCCGTGACTACATAGGGCTTTTGGTGCTGCCTGCTGCAGGCAAGCACCTAGTCTATTATTTCCAACAACCCTACTATGTGCTGGCTTAACTAAGTCTTAGAGATCAGCGCCTCTTCAGGAACCTGCTCTAAACTGCATCTACAGCAGATGCGGTGTAGAGACTGTCCGTTGTATATGCTCCCCAACAGTGTGCCAAGTACTGTATTAACATAATCCAGGCCTTGCTGCTTTTCAGGGCCACATTAGGAAAGTGACCAGATAGACTCATCGTTGCATCTTTCGGTTAGGCTATTGCTATCATCTTAGCCCGCTAAGATCCATCTTGCAGACATTGGGAATAAGGAACCCAAGCCACATTTTATTAATCTTTAGATATGGACTTTACTGTTTGACCCAACAATTATGCCCTGTTTATAGAGAACATAGCCTAGATCTTTGCTGGAGGCGCGTTGCTGGCAGGATAGCTGGAGGCAGTAGATCTGTCTGGGAAGACTGGGGAGTGACAGCCACAGACTACCTGGCCTCAGGGAAAGAGGCGGCCTAGGAAGGGGGATCCTGTAATGAACCTGTACTCCCTCAGTACCTGCAGACCTTCCTTGCTTGAAAGCAGGTAGTTTAGACCCTGGAGGGGAAATGATTGATGGAGATAGCTAAGTCCTGCAAAGGCCTGATTTGAATCACATGACATTCAAAGCAGGCACATCTGTGCTCTCTACCTGCCAGTTCCTGCAAGATGCTGGAGCCACACTGGCCACATATTTCATGGTGTTAAAAAAAAAAATAGCGCATATTAAAACTTTTAAAAGCTTATTTGAGCAAAATCATTTTAAATCTAGCAGATAGGAAGGAGATACAAGAAGTTGTATAAATTTAACTTTTATAGTCAGAAGGGAGCAGGAAAGAACAAGAATGTTGTACTTGTTATGCTTTAACAAGAATGTTAAACAAAACAAGAGGTTGGAGGAGGGCCCTCCCTGCTGGCACAGGGGTTAAAGTCTCAGCTCTATCAAGCTGTCACCAGTTACTGCAGCATGAGTTCAATCCCCTGCCAGGGAGCTAGCACATATGGTGCAGCAGACCTCTTCTGTCTTGCCCTCTGCTCCCATCAGCAGTGTTATTTTAGTAGATATATCTGCCTGTTACACTTTCCACTCTGGTGAATCTGCTCAACCCTGACACCTCTAACCTAGATCCCAGTTCTTATATGCATAAATAAATAAATATTAGGGGGAAAGAAAGAGGGCCCTGGCCAGTGGCACAACAGATTAAAACAATATGAAGATATCTGCAGCCACTGCTGCAGTACAAGTGATTCCTGCAAGTTCGATTCCTGGCCAGAGGGGTGACCTACATGGAAGGACAGACCTTTCCTCACCAGCCTGATGCTCCTCTCAACAGTGCATTTCAGTCAATCTATTCCCCATTCTGTTTCTGGTGAATCCTCTCACCCCCTGCACCTCTGGCCTGGACCCCAATTCTTGTGTGCATCAATAACTAAATCTTTTTAAAAAATCATTTCCTTAAAAAAAAAAGAAAGAGTTTGGTTACTTCCTTCAGAGGATGGTAAGAGTCTGTCAGGCAGATTACCTAACTGGTACTGATCAGGAAATTACTGATGAGTCTAAGAGTCCATTTCTGGGGACCCCCAAGCTAGTTAAGACTCAGTTTTAGTGGCATGGGACTATAAGTGATTGCATTTGGGGCCTGTTGTCTTTTTTTTTTTTTTTTTTAAGATGTACTTATGGACCCTCCCTGGTCCTGCAGCGGGTTAAATTAGCACAGCACTAAGAAGCTAAGCCACTTTTACTGAGTTCGATCCTTGCCCCAGAGGTGATCCACATGGCGTGGTAGACCTCTCCTGTCCTGCCCACTGCTCCCCTCAGCAGTGTACTTAGTTGATCTGCCTGTTCTGCTCCCCACTCTGTCGCTGGTAAATCCTCTCACTGCCCCTGCACCTCTGGCCTGTACCCCAGTTCTGTATGCATGCATAAATAAAAAGATTTATTTATGTGTCCAAGAACTGGAGGGGGGCCCGAGAGGATTCACCAGAGACAGAGTGGGGAGCAGAACAGGCAAATCTACCGAAATGTACTGCTGAGGAGAATAACAGGTGAGACAGGAGAGGTCTGCTGCACCATGTGGGTCAGCTTCCTGGCTGGGAACTGAACTCAGTGCTGCAGTGGCTGCATATAGCTCACAGTACTGAGACTTAATCCCTTGCACCACCAGGGAGGCCCATTATCTTGTTTTTAACATTGGATACCATCCTAGTGGGAGCTGCAGGAAGTGGAAGCTAAAAAATTCCCAAGCGTAAAAAACTTGCTATGCTCTGAAACTGGTGCTCCCTTCCAGCTTCACATGGGAACATTTGAAATCCCCCTTTGGCTTTGGTGCTGTCCCTGGAAATGCTGCCCTGCCCTGCTGCCATCCTGATACCTTTCATCCTAGTACCCCTCCTTATATCCTACACATGCAATGTCTGTGCTGTGTTTGGCCTGGAACCTGCTGTCACCTAGGTGTGTTGAGGTGGGGAATGGTTGTAGGTTCTAAAAACAATACATAATAAGAAACTTCATAAAGGACCAAGCATTTTAAATTATTCAGAGGTGACATTGTTCATATTTTGGCAAATTTCCCTTTTCCCTCTGTTTAAAAAATATAACAAGTCATGTTATAGATATCATTTGGATCCTGTTTTATAAACCTGACATTATATAGCATTAGCATTTTTTTAGATTAATTTATTTATTCATGCAGAACTGGGGTACAGGCCAGAGATGTGGAGG